GTATTTTCACCAAAAAAAAAAGGTTGAGAAGTTAGAGGGTTGACGTGTTGTGGGGTTGTTAACGAATGTCATAAAACAATATGTGTACTACTGTTTCATGAGAAACTATTTGTTCTGTAAGCCTTCACCTGAAGTACAATAAAATAATAATAATAATTAAATCAGAAAGTTAAAACAACGAAAGAAACTGCCTGGAGAAAATGTTTAAAACTAAGAATGATTAGGAATTTTCATTCTGACATGTCGTACTTTCACTTGTTCATAGCTATGATATTTAAATTTCCTTGTTCCGCATGATGCAAACTTCTGCTAAGCACTGGAAATTTCCTCAAGTCTATGCCAGCACATGCAGTGCTCAGCGCTAGGGTTACAGGCTTCATTTGTCTTTTTCCATGGAAGAATATGACTCATATGATACATTCTCTTTAGGAGACCACTCATCCTGTTATGTGAAAGAAGGCGTCATACTGTTAAGTGCAATCTCCCCTGAGGCTCCAGAAGAATAATAAGTCACTTATTTTTCGATGATCCTGTTCCATTTGGCAATTTTGAACAAATCATATTGTTAAGTAGAATCTCTCCTGCAGCTCCAGAAGATAAACAGTTACTTATTTTTGATGATCCTATTCCATCTGGCAATTTTGAACAAATCAAAATCACAATACAATATACTCTTTGAAAATTTCAGGATTCCACTACTGGAAATAACTCCAAAGTTTGAAACCCTAAGAAATGATGGCATATTCAAATTAATTAGTTTTTCATTAGTGACATGGAAGAAAAGGAGTAGAAAGTTATTTTAAAATCAAAGTTGGAAAAAAACATGTTTATGGATATTGTTTTATTTCCAGTTAAATGAGTATTAGTTGAGTAAATACTAGGCAGACTACCAGTCACTGACAGGAAAAACTGACACTTCACATTTATACTAAATTGAGTATTTCACAAATTAAAAGAGAATACAAACTTTCTAGCCTAGCAAAATATTTTCATAATTGAATGTTACCATTATTAAATACACCAACTCAAGGATATATTCATAAAGCAACTTTATCTTTGTTATATTCCAAATACTATCATGTTTTAAAATCCACTCTGTGGAGATTAGTTCTCCTGCCCTAGATAAAATCTAAGGCAAGTCCCACAACTTTTCTAGTCTCTAATAATAATCGAAGCTTTGAAACTGATTTAAATCGAGGCTTCTCCCTTTCTCTAGCTCAGGCCTGCTGAAGGGCTATAGGTAGGAAGCCTGCAGGCAGATGGGAAAGGAGGTAGAGAGGTGGTGGTAGGCTTCTTCCTCTTTCTTTACCTAGCACAACTATCTATCTCTGTTCCCCTGCTCACCCAGGACTGGAGCCGACAGGGAGGAAAGTGAGAACGGAGGAAGTAGCAAAGTTCTTCCTCGACCTGTACTCATGATGATCTGGCACTGGTACTCTCTCGACCTGGGTATTTAAAACTGACTTCCTCTCTCCTGGGCACTTTTACGGGTTATCCTGAGATTGCTCCCCTCACTGTGGATCACTCATCTGCAGTTCCCTTGATGTTTGTCATGTACCCTCCTCTGGTTGTTTTTAGTTCTTTTCTCAGCTCCCAGGAATTGGGAAGTTCAATCCTTGTTCGGATCTTCTCATCCCTCTAAAGGACCTTCTTGGACAGGACCTAAGAAAATCCCACACAGATTCTTGGGGCCCTCATCCAGACCACAGGGCAGCCATATCCTTTGCCTCCACAAACCAGAAGATACAGAAGAATCCCACAAGTCATTTTCACTCAATAATCACAACACTCAACAGCCAGCCAGCCCACTGCTCTACATTTGGATCAGATTAGAATTATAATATAAGCCACAGAGACAATTAAAACATTTCTAGTAGTTACATTTAAAAAGGAAAAAACAGATTAAATTAATTTAACAACATATTTTATTCAGCCTAATACGTCCCAAATACTATCATACAGACATTTACATAAAAAATTGTGAGACATTTTGCATTCTTTTTTTCTACTAAGTCTTCAAAATCAAGTGTGTGTTTTACACTTACAGCACATCTTAATTTGGACTGGCCATATTTCAAGTGCTTAACAACCACGTGTGGCTGCTTTGGATACTACAGCTTTAGAGTGTCCAGGTCTGAGGTCAAACATCAGTCCAAAGTAACCCTGAGCCATAAACGGTATGTGCCAAGCTCTCCAAGTGGTCTACCACTTATTCTAAAGAATTAAGTGTGAAGGGGTGGGGAGATATCTCAGAGACAACAGCTCTCTCTGAAGAACTCCTCCTTCAATCTCCCCTACTTGACCCTGGACATGTTTAAGAGTCACAAAACAGTTTTTCTCTCACTTTCTCTTTTGTAACTCTAGCATGATGGGTGTCTGGGTACCTCATTTTGGAATATATCTATATTGTCTTTGAAATGTATCTATACTGTCTTTGGGCCTTAGCTAACATTTCTATTTTTAACATTCTGCTATCTGATTATTTAAATCATGTCACAAGTTCTTGAGGTTTCAGGTAATTTATTTTTATTTAACTATAGAGTGATGGCTTTCGATAACAATAAATAAATGTCAGACATTACATATTTCATTTTAATTTTTCTCTATATAAAAATTAATCTTCTCAAACTCTTAAGATACTCAAAGAAAAAAAGAAAGAAGCAACAACTACGGGATATGTATGTTGGTTGTTGTTAGTTGCCACTGAGTCGATTCCAACTCATGGTAACCTCATGTGTGCAGATTAGAACTGTTTCATAGGGTTTCCAAGGCTGTAACCAGGAAAAAAAGGCTAAGAAAATATAACACCTAACAATGGTTGCATTTGGAAAGAGTCACCATGAATAACTGAGTTTCCAATTTTTGGTTGTTTTTTTTAAGTATGCACCAATTTTATAAGATAGTAACACTGAGTGGTTCCTACCAACATTTGCAACTCTTTTATAATACTTACCTATTAAGGCTGTGGTAAACCGATTCATTGAGAGAGGTTCTAAATACATTGGTCCTTCATAGGCAGACTCCAGTTCACTCCTAACATAGTCCCTAAATAAATGATAAGAATGTATTAGATACATTCCAAGCAACACGAGGGAGAGAAGCAGCTAAAGCATGGTATTCTTATGAGAGCATGTTGTTAATAATACCTATTTCATTTATACTTAGAATTTAGGTATGAAGAATTACGTAAGGATGGCCTTCAATTCCTTCCTCCATGCACTGGAAATAGACACAATTTATTGAAACTGAATTTTACTATGCAGAGAAGGCAGCTAAAGCCCCATTTTGTGGAATTTTCTTTCTTCCCATGATCTTATTAAATACTTTATGCCCAATAAAAAGCCAGTTGAGATGTCATCTCCAACACTTCCCCCAACTTACCAATAACACTACTTGCTAACATCACATTAAACTTCCCCTCTTTTGGTTCTCCTTCACCCTGGCCCCCTGTCCTATTTTTCCCATAGTACTGTTCCTAATTAGATTTTATTAGTTACAGGTAAAATCACAAATTAGTTAAAAAAACTAGCTCACAGCAGGACTCAACTCTATAGGCGGTCTAATTAGGCTACAATTTACTCTGAAACAAATTTTAGCTCAAACAGTCCTTTTTAAATTTAATTCAATTTTCACATGATTACTGAGAAATAATAAGATTTACGTAGATTTAGTAGACTGAATAACAAAGTTTAAGTAATCAGAAAGCCTTTACACTGAGAAAACATAACTTTTAGGGCACTGGAAGAAAGCACAGAAACAGAGTATTCAATTAATTATCGTTAAGTTTGGCAGCACTGGCAGATAGTTCTCTTAAGCTCTTTTGACATCAAAGAGAAATATGCAGAAAGAAAGTCTCCCTTTTTCTTCAACTGTTGAAAGCCTAATTCATTTCATTTTAAAACAGTCTGAAAGCATTTTCAAGTATTTCTGAGCGAGCTTATATGGCAGTATTTACCTTTTCCATGAAATTATTTCCTATTAAGGCAATCAAGTTTAATTTCTTTGGCACAGCCTAGCCCAAACGAGGAATGACCCTTACATAACCATCCAAGAAGGTACTGCCAAAAATCAAAATTAAAAACTAAAATAACATTAAAAGCGAAACAGTTTTAAGGAGAACTAAAAAAATCAATGGCTAGAAGTAAGCTCCTAAGTGATTTCACAATCATTTTCTACCACTCTATGATAGTTATTTCTAATATACAACATACTATTTCTCTTTCTATTGAAAGAGAAAGCCAAAACCTCGAGACAGATAATTTTAATGCAGTGGTTCTCAACTGGGGGAATTTTGCCCCTGAGGAGACATTCAGAAATATCTGGAGACATTTTTGGTTGTTAGAAACGGGGGAGGGAGGGTAGGGGTGCTTAAGGCGTCTAGTGAGTAGAAGCCAAGGATGCTACCAAACATCCTACAATGCACAGGACAGTCCCCCACAATAGCAAATTATCAAGTCCAAAATATCAATCCTGCCATGGTTGAGACCCTGTTTTAATGTTATTGTGTGCTATGGAGTTGATTCAGACTCACAGTGACCCTACAGTACAGAGTAGAAATGCCCCCATAGGGTTTCTTAGGCTGTAATTATTACTGAAGGAGCCTTGGTGGTATAGTGGCTAAAGCGTTTCACTGCTAACCAGGTCAGCAGTTAAAACCCACCAGTAGCTCTTGGGGACAAAAATCTGGCAGGTGGGTTCCGTAAATAAGATTGAAAAACAAATAAACCAACCCGCTGTCGTCCAGTCGATTCTGACTCATGCAGATCCTATAGGACAGAACAGAACTGCCCCATCGGGTTTCCGAGGAGTGGCTGATAGATTAGAACTGCCGACCTCCTGTTTAGCAGCCCGAGCTCTTATCCACTGTGCCATCAGGGCTCCTCCGTATGTATCATTTATACTTACAAAGTCTTTGAAAATACTATTAAAGAAATATATTTATATTTAACAGAGATATAACTCTGAGTCCCAGTACTACCTAGGCCCCTAAAGTCAAATATTTTTGACCACAGCATATCCTGTCCAATAGATCCAGTTAAAATGGGGGCCAGCATAAATCCATAGAGACAGAAAGCAGATTGTGATTGGTGGTTGAGGGGGTAGGGTAAGTGTAAAGAGTAACTGCTTAATGGGTTTTTTTTGGGGTGATGAAAATGTTTTGGAACTAGGTAGAAGAGGTGGTTGCCCAACATTGTGAATGTTAAATGTCACCACAAAGATGTTCACTTTAAAATGATTAATTTTATGTTATGTGAATTTCACCTCAATTTTAAAAAAGGAGGAGGAGCAGTTAGAAGACCTCTAGCCCTGTGGCGAAAAGCCAAAAGGTGCCCAAAAAAGGACCTAAGTTCCAAGGAGCTCTCTAATTGGGTACGGGTGGGGGGTGGACAACAGAGCTGGGTTCCCTGTCATGCTTCTCTTTCCTCTGTTTGGTTTTATCTTCATATCATGAATGTTTTACAGTATAACTCAGCGGCTTAACGTTATTCCAGTTTCTTACTGCTGAGACGTTTGTTCTTTTTCATTATTTCACAGCCTACTGTAGTTTACCCTCTTTTAAAGCTTCTTTGTCTTTCTTTAGATTCTTTTACCTTGAAATTCTAATTTCACACAACAAAACTTAAGGGAAATCAACATTTTATGTATTTTTTTTTACTCAAAAAGAATTTATTATGTATATAATATGTTGTTAGCACTCTGTTCTACCCTGGAATTACTGAAGTAAACAAGATATCATGAAGTTTACAAGCTAGGAGGGGAGAGACATATCAAACAAACACTTACCCTAACAATTAATTAGTTACAATTGTGGTAAGTGCTAAGAAAAAGATACAGGATGCTGTGAGGGTTTTTAAAAATATTTTATTTTTAGGTTCACAGCTCTATTTAAAAATCTTACTTATCTTCTCTTTGTTTCCAGGTTCTTACTTCTTCACTCAGCTAGTTCTATCTAGCCTTTTACTGCTTTTAAGTATCATTTATTTCACCTCTCATTCTACCATATAGTTATTATAAAATGTTTTAATGTAACTATTTTCCTTTATCCTATCCTATCCTTTTTTTTTTTTTTTTTTTAAAGTCCCCTCTTAACCTTCTAATCTTTTCATGATTTTCCTTTTAATTCTTTTTCACTCTCTGCATATTCTTCATTATTTGGTGATTTGCTGAGATTACAGGTCACCAAGGAAAGTCTGCATTCCAGAAGGATAAGTCATCAACCTTCAGGCCGTAATGACTGCAGCTTGACAGTAAGCAGTTTCCTCCCATCCGTCCTACTTATGCCCTCTTCTAGGATTCTAGAAATAGCTCCCCGCCAATGCTGCAACCTCCCCTATAACTGTCCAACCTGATCTTTGCATCAATCATTCAAACGCAGAAATTAATACTTTCCTAGGCCCCTTAGATCCTTTCCCCCTTTGATCAACCGTCTCTCTCACAAGAGTCTTTCAGAATCCTCCGTTTGGCCCCACTTCAGTTCAGGTAGTCAGGACCAGAAAGCCTGCAGATTCCTGCTTTGGACTAGGCTTAACTTGCCAGATCTTGAACAGTGGGTTTGGAGAAAGCTAAACTACCTAGCAGTGCCACGCAGCCACCACCAAGCTGTTTCTTCTGAAAGGAGAAATCTGGGCAGTGCCTCCCAAACTTAGGGGGAGAACTGAAATAAGGATTAATGTAAACAAAGATCTCTATATGTAAGTTATAAACAACTTCAAGGCAATGATAAAGTCCCAACAGAGCTAGGCATTCCAACATTAAAAAAAAAAACAAGATAGTAAGCCTAAACAGAAGCATCCAGAAAAGGAATTATCCAAAAGGCCCTGAGTCAAAAATTAAGCTAAAAACTAGTCTGAGGCAAGAGCAATGAAATTTCTAATTTTTAATAAAATTTTAACTGTTTTAAGACTGAATCAGAAGAGAAGATGCTCGAGAGAAACATTAATTTTTCAATTTAGAAGATTTAGAGGGTAAAATGTATTAAGCAAGAATTTCTGACACTCTCTTTATATATGAACAAAATCTTTTCCTTCTTAAACCTGATTTTTTCATTTGCATAATTTTTGGAATGCTGACAATCAACCCTGAGCACTAATAAACTAAATACTGAAAAATCCAGCTCCCTAATCCCTTATGAAAAATTCCTGGGTGGTGCAAACAGTGAATGCACTCAGCTGCAAACCAAAAGACTAGAGACCACTCAAAGGCACCTCAGAAGAAAGTTCTGATGATTTACTTCTGAAAAATCAGCCACTGAAAAACTATGGCGCACAGTTCTATTATGACACACGTGCCACGAGTTGGAGTCCACTGGATGGCAACCTCTTCTCCTTTGATTTAAACTGTCTTGGCCATAAGGAATGTGTAAGATATATGAAAGGGGCCTAAAGAGAAGCATACAAATCATAAAAAATAAATTATAAAACAAACAAAAAAACTAGAAACTTACCGCTTTACCAGCTGATTAAAGATCCTTACACAGTCTCCCTTAAGTAATCTGGCTGAGTCACTGGACAACCAAGGAACAACTTGTACATTCTGACCACTTACTTCAAGCTTTCAGACAATGGTAATTGAAAGAAACCTAATCTACATTTATACAGAATGAAGTAGTGAGCCCTCTAAAGTTCTTCTGCAACATGTGTAAACAAAAGGCACTGCTCAATCTAAGAGATTCCAGATACTGACATATTCAAATACCTGTATTTGAGTATCTCCTGTATATACATATGCACATCTACCACAGCCTCAGCACTGTGTTAGACCTGAATAGTTCATTTGTTGTTGTTTTTAGTTGCCAACTTGATTCCAACTTAGGGCGATCCTGTGTGTGCAGAGCAGAACTGCTCCATAGGATTTCCAAAACTGTGATCTTCCGGAAGGAGATCACCAGGCTTGTCTTCCGAGGTGCCAATGGGTGGGTTTGAACCACCAATCTTTTAGCTAGTTGTCAAGCACTTAAACATTTGCACCACCCAGGGACTCCATAGTTCCATTTACCCAGGGTTTAATTATTTAAACGGTCTCTGCCACTCTGCATCTCTCTTCAG